TTAGATGACAGGAACACGGTCTAAAGCAGAGCTTGTAGGTACAGAGAACAGAACCCCTCAGCCGGGTCCATTCTGGGGCCCAGCGAGCCAGACAACCCCGTCTGCCCTCACTTCCTGTCCCCGGCCAGCTCCCTACTGAAAACCCCCTCCAGCCCCTCCTTTCTGGCCTTTGTCTCTTTCCCGGGCCAGGAGGTCACCTGATCTCTTTGTTCACCTTTAGCTATTCCCTTACAGGGGGGGAAGGGCCCCGGCCATTTGTAGCCAGGATACAGAGTGTTGGGCAATTATGCACACTGGAGACTTAAGAAATGCATAGGGGAAACTGAGGCACCCACACAGTATTCAGAGGAAACATTAAGAACAGTCCCACTTCGTCAGAGCATCTCAGCTGGGGACTCCTACCTGCTAGTCCCTGGCAGATTAACGCAAGGGCCTTGGCCAATGTGGGGGCATCCAGAAAAATGGACACCTGAGCCCCAGAAGGAACTGCAAGGGAACCCCTGAGTCCCAGCTGCAGATGCCAGGCAGAAGCCTCAAGCCCAGGCATGCAGCGCGCCGGCAGGCGTGCGGAGGGGCATGAAAGTCCTGAGCTCAGCGCCCCAGGAGATGCTCACTATCATAAGATTCAGTCCCAGTCCAAGGAAGGTATAAATTATTACACATCAAGTAAATGTTTCACCTTCATAGTCCTTCCTAGCAGATGGGGGCTTTGGTTTCACTGTAGACCTGGGTAATCACTTACCACTGGCATTGGTAATTCCAGGTGCAGTTTTATAGACCCCGGACTTCTTATATCAGGGGTCGGCAACCTTTCAGGAGTGGTGTGCCGAGTCTTCATTTATTCACTCTAATTTAAGGTTCCGCGTGCCAGTCATACATTTTAACGTTTTTAGAAGGTCTCTTTCTAGAAGTCTATAATATATAAACTATTGTTGTATGTAAAGTAAATAAGGTTTATAAAATGTTTAAGAAGCTTCATTTAAAATTAAATTAAAACGCAGAGCCCCCCAGACCGGTGGCCAGGACCCAGGTAGTGTGAGTGCCACTGAAAATCAGCTCGCGTTCTGCCTTCGGCATGAGTGCCATAGGTTGCCTACCCCTATCTTATATACTCAGTGGGGGAGGTAGAAGTCTTAAAGTAAAAAACAGCCTCAGAAATTGTTTCCAGTAAAACAGACAAGCAAAGAATATCTTCCTTCTATCTTAAATACAGTACAGACATTGGGGGTGGAGCAGAATAAGGACCAGTCTATGCCTTGAAGTGTAAAAGAGAGGATCGGTCTCTAGGGTGCTGACCAGAAGAGAGTCCCTCGCAGAGAATCCATAAATTTCGTAGCTTCTGTTGCTGTGCAAAAACTGTGCCATTATCCTTCAGGCTTAATCTGAAATGTGGCCGGAAATGAAATGTAGTACGTCATTGGCCTTGTATGTTTATTTCCATGGCCTTATTCAACTGTCTGGTGCCACATTTTAAAAACTTCATCATTAAAAAATGAGGAAAGATCTTGGTCTCACATCTGCTGGGGGCTTCGGGGCAAAGAAACGGTGCTCCCTCTCAATTTCAAAATCAGTTCCCGAAGGGAGTTTTAAGAATTCAGGGACAGCCTTATTTAGGAATTCAATAGATTTGCCTTTCTCAAAGCCCTCCAGAAAGGCAACCAAATGCAAATTATTATATCTTGTTCTGCCCTCCTGATAGTCCACTCTCTCCTGTAGGGCTCTAATTCTCTGCACTTGCTGATTTGAGGAGGTGTTACTGGCTGTTACAGAGTCCTCCAGTGCAGACACATGGGCCTCAACTTACCCCACTCTCCTTCGTAGGCTGGTTTGATGAGCTGCAGAGGTCTTTTTCACATCAGCAATGTCTGCTGACATTGTTCTTCAGAGAGTTAATTCTTCTGAGATCTACTGAAGCACCTGCAAGGTTTGTTCAGGATTCTATCCGGAGCTTCTTCCTACACCTCCGTATGACATGAGCTCTCAGATAGCTTTTGCTTTTTGCAGGCCTGCTTCGTTACTGGAGACGAGGAGAGGTCCAAACTCTTATCCAGGGATCCCTTAGCAGATGGTGCATGGATATCAATCTAAATTAACTACATCTATAGTAGGATTGCTGTTATTTTGAACAGATTCTGCGGGGTATAGCGAGGAGCTTGGAGCTCAGGCAGCCTACCTCCCGTTGGCTCCCCCTGGAATCCTGTTGGTATTATTAACCATATATTTGATGAAAGTGGCCGCTAGTGCCACTAGCCAGCTAGGGCATGTCTACACAGTGAGGGGCAGCCAACAGCAGCAAGTCTCAGAGTGTGGGTCAACAGACTTGACCTTGAATTACTGTGCTAAAAAGAGCTGTGTAGACATTGCAGCTCGGGCTGGGACCCTAGGCTGAGTAGCCAGGTCTCACAGCTATTTTTAGCACCGTAGCGTGAGCTCCGCAAGCCCAAGTGTGTCAACCCGGGCTCTGAGACTCACTGAGCCCAAGCTCCAGCCCGAGGTGAAACATCTCACAGCTATTGTTAACGCTGCAGAGTGAGCCCGAGTCCGTTGACCTGGGCTCTGAGACTTACTGCTACTTGCTGCGGAGATAGCCCCAAAGTGGCATAGTAGGCTGCTGTGGGGGTGGAGTATGACTGACTTACTTCTGCTCTCAGCTATCTCCGTGACACCACTGATTTCCTGAGAAAACTACAATACATTGGTGATCTTCCAGAAAACACCATCCTAGCCACCATGGATGTGGAGGCTCGCTACACAAACATCCCACACACAGATGGAATACAAGCTGTCAGGAACAGTATCCCTGATGATGACACAGCACAACTGGTTGCTGAACTCTGTGACTTTATCCTCACGCACAATTCTTTCAAATTTGGTGACACTATATACCTCCAGACCAGTGGCACCGCTATGGCCCCACAATATGCCAACATTTTTATGGCTGACCTGGAACAACGCTTCCTCAGCTCTCGTCCACTCACGGCCCTTCTCTACCTACGCTACATTGATGACATCTTCATCATCTGGACTCATGGGAAGGAGACTCTGGAAGAATTCCACCACGATTTCAATAGCTTCCACCCCACCATCAACCTCAGCCTGGACCAATCTACACGGGAGGTCCACTTCCTAGACACCAGAGTACAAATAAGTGACGGTCACATTAACACCACACTATACCGAAAACCCACCGACCACTATGCCTACCTTCATGCCTTCAGCTTCCATCCCGGACACACCACACGATCCGTCTACAGCCAAGCGCTGAGGTACAACTGCATTTGCTCCAACCCCTCAGACAGAGACCAACACCCACAAGATCTTCACCAAGCATTCTCAAAACTACGATACCCGCACGAGGAAATAAGGAAACAGATCAACAGATCCAGACGTGTACCCAGAAACCTCCTGCTGCGAGACAAGCCCAAGAAAGAAACCAACAGAACTCCACTGGCCATCACCTACAGCCCTCAGCTAAAACCTCTCCAACGCATCATCAGTGATCTACAACCCATCCTGGACAACGATCCCTCACATTCACAGGCCTTGGGAGGCAGGCCAGTCCTCGCCCACAGACAACCCGCCAACCTTAAACATATTCTCACCAGCAACCACACACCGTACCACAGTAACTCTAACTCAGGAACCAATCCCTGCAACAAACCTCGATGCCAACTCTGCCCACATATCTACACCAGTGACACCATCACAGGACCTAACCAGATCAGCCACAACATCACCGGTTCATTCACCTGCACATCCACCAATGTAATATACGCCATCATGTGCCAGCAATGACCCTCTGCTATGTACATTGGACAATCCCTACGTAAAAGGATAAACGGACACAAGTCAGATATCAGGAATGGCAATATACAAAAACCTGTAGGAGAACACTTCAACCTCCCTGGCCACACAATAGCAGATTTAAAGGTAGACATCCTGCAGCAAAAAAACTTCAGGACCAGACTCCAAAGAGAAACTGCTGAGCTTCAGTTCATTTGCAAATTTGACAACATCAGCTCAGGATTAAACAAAGACTGTGAATGGCTAGCCAACTACAAAAGCACTTTCTCCTCCCTTGGTGTTCACACCTCAACTGCTAGCAGAGGGCCTCATCCTCCCTGACTGAACTAACCTCATTATCTCTAGACTGATTCTTGCCTGCATATTTATACCTGCCTCTGGAAATTTCCACTACATGCATCTGACGAAGTGGGCATTCACCCACGAATGCTCACGCTCCTATACGTCTGTTAGTCTATAAGGTGCCACAGGACTCTTTGTCGCTTTTTACAGATCCAGACTAACACGGCTACCCCTCTGATACTTTACTTCTGCTCGGCAGTCACCTTTAATCTTCCCTCATTAAGGGTTTGTCTGCATGGGGAATTTTACAGGCCATACACAACTGTAATTATATATCTCTCACTCCCCACGTGGACACACTTATTCCAGAATAAAAGTGTCCACATGGGAAGTTGTACCAGTATAACCATAGCGGCATAACTATACTGGTAGAACTCCTCATATAGACAAGCCCTAAAAGATACACAAATGCGCACAAGTATTCCTCCTCCTGCAACATCCCAGTTTTCAAATGATCCATATCTCCATTACCAGGCATTCTCTGTCTTGGTTCCTGTCGCTGTGCCCTTATGATCAGTGTTCCCACAAAATTCAACTCCATTACCTTGCAATTCCCACTAATCCCCCCATCCCTGCCAAAGGATCCGTTCCTACCTTCACCAGCTCCTTTGCCCTCCTGAATCTCGGATCTGTAATCATAAATAAGCCAATACTTCCCGCCCATCCTTCTTACACCTTGTACTTAAGTGCCCCTCTCCAAGCAAAGAAAGTACCATACCACTGTTTTATATTACACGTGGAATCCCTATTGTGCTGCTAGAGCTAATGTAATCGGAAGTTACACTTGCTGTATTGGGTTTCTTGTTCACATGGAGGTTTACCAAGGGTGTAACAAGCTTTTGTGTTTGATTGACGCTTTTCCCACATTCAGTACATTTGTGAGGTCTCTCTCCCTGGTGCGCTGACTGTTGCTGGGTAAGGGTGAACGTCTGATGAAAGCTTTTCCCACATTCAGTGCATTTGTGAGGTCTCGCTTTGCGATGCACTAACTGATGCTGGGAAAGGGTGAACTTCTGACGAAAGCTTTTCTCACAGTGAGGGCATTTAAAGGGCCTCTCCCCAGTATGGATCCTCAGGTGCTTAGTCAGAGTTGATTTCTTCCTGAAGTCTTGCCCACATTCCGTGCATTTATGAGGTTTTTCCCCCGTGTGGGTTCTACAGTGACTGGAAAGGTCCCCTTTCCGCCTGAAGCTTTTGTCACAGTCAGGACACTGATAGGGTTTCTCTTCTGTGTGGACTCTCTTATGCAGAACAAGGTATGAGCTCTCTCTGAAGCTTTTCCCACAGTCAGCGCAGCTATAGGGTTTCTCCTCTTTGTGCGTCCGCAGGTGTTTACTGAGTGTCGACTTCCGTCCAAAGCTCTTCCCACAGTCAGCACATACATAAGGTTTCTCTCCCGTGTGGCTTTTTTGATGCCTTCGGAGGTGTGAGTTCTGGCGGTAGCTTTTCCCACACTCAGCACAGCTGTGTCGTTTCTCATCTGGGTGGATTTTCTGATGCAGGTCAGCGGCTGAGCTGCTACTAAAGCTTCTCTTACTTTTACTTTGTGTATTCAGTTGTGCTCCCACCTTGGTTCCCTGGTAGGCGACGGTGCGGTTCAATTTCTTAGAACTTCCTTCACATACAGCAGGTTCACAGTCTTTCCCCCCTGCCGGGTAAACTCGCTGCTGTCCTCTCCTTCCCCGACTCTTACCAGCATCTGCCCGTTCACATCTCTGAGATGCCTCACGAGGCTCCGCTCCCATTGGCTTTTTCTGTTGGGGATGCTCATCCTTGTTCTCACTCACAATCCCATTGTTAAACTCTCTATGCATCTCTTCATTGTGGATTCTCTGATGCTGAATAAATCTCTCTCTCAGGATAAAGAGCTGGCGGCACACTGGACACTTATGGGGTCTCTCCAACTTGTGGACTGTGTAACGATGAAGAACAAGGCTTGTCTTGTGTCTGAAGCTTTTCCCGCATTCATTACATTTATAGAGTCTCTCCCCTGTGTGAATTCTCAGATGTATCTGAAGGCACTGTTGTTGAGAAAAGCTTTGGCCACATTCATTACACTTGTAGGCACCCTTTTCTGCACAAGTTTGCTGACAATGCTTAATGAGGAGCGAGCATTTATTGAAACTTTCCCCAGGTTCAGTACTTGTGTTTGGGCTCTCCCCCGTGCAGGCTGTCTGGTGGGTGTTGGTGTCTTTGGATTTCTCTAAACTTCTTTTGCTATGAGTGGATTTACTCCTGCCTGGAGGGTCTTCCCAGAGCCTCTCTGTCCTGCCCTGACTCTCACTGGCATCTCTCCACTCAAGGCAACAGTGTCTCCCTGAGAACATCCTTTGTGGTTCTGCTCCTGTAGATACAACTTTCTGGGCTTTTTCCTCCTTCTCGCTCACCATCCCAGCACCTGTCGGGAGAAAGAGAATCCAGATGCGATTCATTGCCTGTGCTGGGTGCAGAGGGGGCAGCAAAGGGATTTGTCTCTGATCAGAAAACCTGATGGACAAGAAGCAAATTTCCCTAATATTTCCCTGGAGGAATGAGGAGGGGCCAGTTCTGACTCAAAGTCCCATCTGAACCTTAAGAAAAAGGCTGAGGGAGGAAAAGGCTTCAGGGTCAGGCAGGACAAGTGGGAGCCAGGAGTGACTCCTGCCCTGAGGACAGGACACAATAGAGAGTGAGATGAGATGAAACAGAACAGGAGCAGTCCTTAGTGGGTTTGCTGAGATCCCAGCTTTTCCCTCAGCCCCAGATGGTTTCCTGATTGGTGTCACTCATTCCTCACCAGTGCTAGTGCCTCTTGCGTTCTCCCTTTCATCAGAGCGCTGGAGATCTGGGAACCACGGCTCTTCCCCTCGCTCCATCTGGGACAGCACATCTGGTTTAGCGATCGGAAATCCTGCTCATTGGAAAGAGGTACATGCATCACAACATATCAAGTATTTCTCGATCACTTAACTACAAAGAACAGCAAAGAAAATCTTGGAATGAAGGGGAAAGACACAATCCATGTAGGTTGTCACCCATTCAGTATCCCATTTTGGCAAGCAGATTATCTGGTGGGAAATGGGCTGTGTTCCTTATAGGAAATTTAGGCCATGTCTACACTAAAGGGACTATAGCAACTGCTCACCCAACGACAAGAGAGTCTCGTAATTCTCCTGCAGGACATCTCTGTAGAGTTCCTTCTGCTTTTCATCCAAAAGAGCCCATTCATCTTCAGAGAAGAACACGGCCACCTCCTCAAACGTCACTGGCATCTGAAATGACATGGGTCCCCCACTCAGCCCCTGTCTGGTCTGGCCACAATCCCACCAATCAGGCACAAGCTGAGCAGCAAAGGGCAGAGCCATCACCATCAACGCAGCATTATGGGGGGGAGGAATCCCATTTCCCAATCTCCCAACCTCCTCCACACAGCAAGAGATGCCAGACTCAGCCTGCCCATCCCCACAGAGCTCTTAGCCCCAATCCAGGCCACTCAAGCAAGCACCTGGAGCCACAAGGGAGCCCCACTCAGCACATCGGTTCCCGCAATAGCCTCACCACTCAGTCGTGGGATGAACAGCCAGGGACAAAGTCTGGCCACCTGGAGGGGCATGAAGTGAGCTATCCAGCATGTGGGAGGAGCTCCACATGCACAAGGCACCTCCCAAAAAAGCGGTGTGATTGTTTTATTGATGGGGAGAAGGAAAGTTGGAAAGGCTGGTGAGCGATGGAGGAGCTGAGAGGAGGTAGGAGCAATGAGCAAGGACAGACAAGGAAGCAGCACGGCCCGGCAGGAAGAACAGTACAGACCATTTCACCACTCACCATAAAGCCAAATCTATGGAGTGAGGCCACCATATCTTGGTCTCCTTCATTCCCCTTATCAGGAGGAGCAGAAAGATGAGGTCCAGGTAGGTCTAAAGGATGATAAAGATACGGTTGGAGGGACCCACACAGACACACACGCTCCTGGACCTCACGACTTTACTAGGAACAGGGAACCACCCACCCTTCACACGCCACTAGACAACCAAATGCTGCTCCAATGATTTCATACAGGCTGCCTCAGGGACACCCCTCCCTGCTGTGCTATCCATGCTCCCCAACACCACATGCATCTCCACACACAACTTATTACCTAGTTGCCGTGAATACTGCAGCTTCTCTCTGAGGTCACAGCTCAGTTGTGGCCCTGGGCGATGGAACCTCTGTGACCTTGAGCTGGACGGGGGCTCCATCGTCTCAGAAATCCCTTCTCTTCCGATCACACAAACTGAGACCTGGGAAACATAGACATTGTTAGCTCTGTGTGAGGGACAAAGGTAGCATCTGAGGGGTAGTGACAAATGGCTCTCGGAGTTTCTACTAAACAGAGTTATTGAAAGCCAATGGGCCTCCCACAGATATGAAAGGGGCTCTGTGTCCCCCCCACATTTCCATCTTCCAGTTTTCACCAATATCAGTTGGGTTCTGCCCATTGATGACTATAAGATATCCCTCAATTTTGTATTTCTTCCTTGTAGCCTTCTGCCCAGACCAAGCCTTCTTCCTTCCTGGGCTGATTTTTTCTTCCTAGTGAACCCTTTCTGAACTCAGGTGATGTTACCTCAATTCTGCCTTTTATTTGACTGATCCTGGCACCTAGGACTATCAGATCACAATTGCACTCCTGCAGGTAGTTGGCTCTTTTTATGCTTGTTAATTAACATCATTATTATTTATTGGTATTACCCTAGAGCCCAGGAGTCCTAGTCATGGGCCAGGATTCCATTGTATTGGGTGCTGTACAAAGAGAGAGAAAAACGATATTCGATTCCCCAAAGAGCTTCCCTTGTAACATAATCCCTCTACATTTGAAGGGCATCACTCAAAGGGGTATCTAATTTTCTCATGAGTCTGAATTAACAAAATTTTATGTAATGGAAACCTTTTTGTATGAATTTCTGCCACATGCAGATTTAACTGTTCCTCTTACAGGATGTATTTGTCACATTCAGATCTAAAAGGTTTTGACCCTCAAAACTGAGGACACACTTTATTTTACATTTCACATTGATCATTTGGACAAGGGTGCCTGTTTGCTGAGCCATCTCTTACTTAACGGGTAGTAATTTCCAAACCATGCTAGTATAACCAAGGTACGGACTAAATCTTCACGAATTCCCTTGGTGCTTTTGTCTGAAGACATTGGTCAGTGGGCAGCAATCTTTAATTTCCCATTTCAGCTAGGGAGAAATTTAGATTACACTAACTAGTTTAAAAGCAATGCGGTCTGTCACTCTCACTTCCACAGCCTCCTAGGGACTGTCAGGAAAGTTACAATATGTCTACACTAGAAAGGTTATGCTGGAGCCCAGCATAGCCCCCTAGTGCAGACGCAATGTACACTGACAGAAGTGTTTCTGATGGCAAGTGAACACCTCCCCGAACAGCATTAGCTATGCTGCTAGCAGCATTTTTCTTTCAGCATAGCTGTGTTCACACTGGGGGTTTTGTCAGCATAGCCATGTTACTGAGGGTGTGTGGTTTTTCAGCCCTGACTGACAGACCGACACCGGCATAAGTTTTAAGTGAAGACCAGGCCTCAGTGCCTCTTTTAGAGTACAACCAACTTTTGGCCGCACACCCAGAAGTGTAGCTGGTGCTCTTGCTTTTTCACTGTTTCTTTTGCCTGGAAGATGTTTACCTTAAACTAAACTTTACAGAAGCAATAACTTAAAGGGATAGTTCCAGTAAATAACCCCCAAATTCCTTGTTGAAGCTAATTAATACTCCAATTGTATGGAGGTTAGTCTGACTTTGCATCCACAGTTGGAATCGCAAGGTTATACATGCCAAAAATAAAACTACCTAAGCATAACATAGGCTCTTTTAATTTCTCACTTGCATTTCACAGAATCATAGACATGTAGGGCTGGAAGGGGCCTCAGAGGGTCATCCAGTCCAGTCCCCTGGGCGGAGGAAGGACCAAATAAACCTCCTAGAACATCCGTGACAGGTGTTTGTCCAACCTGTTCTTATAAGCTAGCGATGATGGGGTTCCACAACCTCCCATGGAAGATTATTCCACAGCTAAACTCCCCTTCTAGCTAGAAAGCTTTTAACAGTATTGGACCCAGGACGGACCCCTGCAGAACCCCACTAGATACATCCTCCCAGTTTGATAGCAAACCATTGACATTTACTCTGAGTAATTTTTACTCTTTGAATAATTTTTTTCATCCACCTTATCGTAATTTCATCCAAACCACATTTCCCTGGTTTACTCGTGATAATGTTGTTATCTGGGACTGTGTCAGAAGCCCAACTAAAATTGAGATGGGAAGCACTAGACGTGACCTCTTTATCCACTAGGCCAGTGACCTTCAGCCTGCTCAGTGCCACGGCAACAGCCAGCATTAAAAACTTTTTTAACCTTTTACGAAAGGAACAGAAAAAAGAAAAGAAAAAACAGTGAAGCCATTTGAAATATCATGTATTAAGCAAGGCTTTCATTTCAACTATACCCCGTATTCCATTTTCCTTTAGCTGTAGAATGTTTTTAGGAAGGGGGGGGGGGGGGGGAAACTTCAGAAGTCCTTTGGATGGTGTTATGGATGGTAACAACATTCTTTTTTGAGGGGGAAAGGAGAAGAAGTTAGATGAAATGGGCTGGATCTGTTGTTTCTATTGTTCAAGTCTGATCTTGTTTCCTTGAAGACAGAACAAGACAAAATGCACAGAAGAGGGAAGAGGAAAGAACAGCAAAGATAGAAAATGCAGTTCTGTCTCGCATGCTGACTCTTACTTGTAACCCAGGTCTTGGAGAAACAGAAAATGGAAAAGGTACTTGGTTGTATTGCAAGGTTTACAAATTCCTCATCCCAAAATTGGGATTGTCAAATCTTATTTGATTAGATGACATATGAACTTTTCTCATGTTAATAAAGATAAGAACTTACAACTCACTTTATTTACACCTAAAACAATCTTAACAGTGCAGCTGTTCTGTCTTAAAAAGTTTAGAAACACACTAGCTCTTATCACATTTTGACTGAATGCCCAGAGTGGGTAAAGTTCGAAAAAATCTCCCAATCCCATCCCCCACCTCTTCCATATTTAAAGCTGCACGTCATGAACCGTGACAATGTCATGCACAAATGGTTAAATTTCCTGACTTGCAAAAATTTGAGCCCTAGTGGCATTTTTACCCCTATATATTTCCTCCTTTTTAAAAGGAAGCAGCCAGCTAATGTTCTTTAGCCACATGTGCATCCATAAGCCATTTGCTACACCCAAAAGGTAGTTAAAATCCACCAGCATTTTAGTCTATGGCAGACCTTGCCCACCAACATTTCACGGCTACTGAGGCAATGTAGCCGCTCCCAGAGATCTAAGCCGAATCACCAGAACTGCGCCAATTCACATACACAAAAACAACCACCAACACGTTTTGTTTTTCCAATCACAAAAATCTTTTGGGCTGCAACAACCCTTTCCAATGGTTTGAATCTCAATTTACAGTCAATGCAGTAGCAGCCTTGAATTAAGTTGGCATTCAGTTAAAAAAGAGTTACTCGTGATGTTGTCTGAGCAGAAGTTTGCTTTAGCAACTTAACCTTTAACAATTTAAAACACTTTATTTGATCACTTTTGCATTTTGCTTAAAAATGCCTTTATGTTGATGGTTCAAAGTTATTACCAGTTAGAGAAACTACAAACCTTAAGATACACAAAAGAAACAAAGCATTTGTAAAAAGATTTCAAAAACAGTAATAACTATCAAACAAAATTATAAAACCCTCAGATTTTTCAAATAAGACCATTAGCAGATGGCTTTGCATGCCCAACCCAAACAAATTCAAACACACTTGGATAACAATTGCTAGTTTGCCAGAGTTTTCAGCTACTGAGTACGTACATGAATCTTAACCAATTTGGGCCCATTGATTTCTGATCCCACACACTTCCAGTTTATCAAATACAATCTTAACAGAATCCTAGAGTTATAGGATTTACAAATCTCGTTTGATTAGATGCTATCAAAATCACAGTTAAACCCTTCCCAGGTTAATAAAGGTAAGAACTTACAACTCACTTCATTTGTAGCTAAAACCAACTTAAAACTGTGGCTGGGTGGAAAAGCTTCCCCCACTGATTTCTGATCCCACACACCTCTCATTTACCAGACGTGATTTTAACACAATCCTAGAGTTAGATCAGCAGGCCTGTTTGTTTTGAGTAACCCAATCTGTCTGTTTCCCTTTTGTACCTTTTCCCATTAGTATTTTTTATAGGTGACTTGAACATTTTATAAAATTTTAGCCATTTTCCCACAGTTGGTGTAGGACTGTCTGGCCCCAGTTATTACAACAGGTGTACATGTAATGTAGTTTTTATTACCACAGTGCTTCGGAGGCGTACTCCTGGACCATGGTCCCATTCTGCTAGGCACAGCAGTGTGAAATGCACGTTTGGATGTAAATATCACTAGGCAGAATCGTCACTAAAAGGAAATTAGTACGTACAGTTTTCTTTCTCCGGCTATGAACTCCGACTGTTCCTCTTACTGTCGCTGAGTCTCTGAGTTGATGGAGTTTCTTCTTGGTGGTTTCTAGAGACTATGGAACAGAGAGATTCTAGTAGGGTAAAAATCTTCCGTAACTCAGGAAACATCTTTTCTACAAGGGACGCCCTGATTTTCAAATATAGTTGGTTTTCAACCAATTGCACCAAAGAAATTATTTTTTTCAGAGGCTTTCACAGGAAGCTTTGAGCTTAAAGCAAACTCTACTGCTCTGTGTCTGTGAAGTTCCTACTTCATTCACATCAGAGCCCTGAGCTACTTCCGCTTTTTCAGTAAAAAAGGATCATCAAATGAGGAGGGTTCTTTATAGCTCTTCTCCATTTTCAACCAGTCACACTGAAGAAATTATTCTGTTGAAGAAGTTCTCAGCAGGAAGCTTTTCGCTTAAAGCAAACTCTACCACTCGGAGTCTGCTTGTAACAACAGAAACATACTGGAATAAGGAACTTCCTCTCCCCCCCCCCCCCCCCCCCCACAGGGTGAAGAGCCCCGAGTTACTAACCCTTTTTCAGTAATAATCAATGATGAGATACGGAGGGCCTCTACGGCTTTCCAGCTTTTCCTTTTCAAAGCATGCGGCTGGCTAGGGTGGAAGGGAGATACACTGACATTGAGAGAGAGACAATCCTTTTTTTGTTCACGTGGATTAAAGATTTGCCTTATTAGCTACTCTTTTGTAACTTTGTCATTTCTACAGTGTTATATTTTACATTTTTTTTCATTTACTGTCACTTTCTTAAAGTGCCCAGTTTTAGGTACCAAACTTAAGACAAATTGGAGAGGGGCCAGAAGACAGCAAAATAAATAAATAAAATAGTAAGAGATTCAGAAAACCTGACCTATGAGGAAAGGTTAAAAAATCTGGAACGTTTAGTCTTGAGAAAAGAAACTGAAGGTGGACTTGATAATAGTCTTCAAATATGTTAAGGGCTCCTATAAAAAGAGGATGGTGATCAATTGTTCTCCATGTCAACTGAAAACAGGAGAAGAAGCAATTGGCTTAATCTACAAGGGAGATTGCGGCCTGGTCTACACTACGAGTTTAGGTCGACTTTAGCAGGGTTAAATAGAATTAAGCCTGGACACGTTCACACGACGAAGCCCTTTCTTTCGACTTAAAGGGCCCTTTAAACCGGTTTCTTTACTCCACCTCCGACGAGGGGATTAGCGCTAAAATCGGCCTTTGCGGGTCGGATTTGGGGTAGTGTTGACGGAATTCGACGTTATTGGCCTCCGGGAGCTATCCCACAGTGCTTCATTGTGACCGCTCTGGACAGCACTCTCAACTCAGATGCACTGACCAGGTAAACAGGAAAAGCCCCGCGAACTTTTGAATTTCATTTCCTGTTTGCCCAGCATGGAGAGCACAGGTGACCACGCAGAGCTCATCAGCACAGGTAACCATGATGGAGTCCCAGGATCGCAAAAGAGCTCCAGCATGGTCAGAACGGGAGGTACGGGATCTGCTCGCCATATGGGGAGACGAATCAGTGCTAGCTGAACTCCGTAGCAGTAAACGAAATGGCAAAATATTAGAAAAGGTCTCAAAGGCCATGAAGGACAGAGGCCATAACAGGGACACACAGCAGTGCCGCATGAAAATTAAGGAGCTAAGGCAAGCCTACCACAAAGCCAGAGAGGCAAACGGAAGGTCTGGGGCAGAGCCGCAAACATGCCGCTTCTACGCGGAGCTGCATGCCATTCTAGGGGGTGCAGCCACCACTACCCCAACCGTGTGCTTTGACTCCGTCAATGGAGAAACACGCAACAGGGAAGCGGGTTCGGGGTACGCGGAAGATGATGATGATGATGATGATGAAGAAGACAATGAAGATAGCTCACAGCAAGGAAGCGGAGAAACCGGTTTCCCCAACAGCCAGGATATGTTTATTACCCTGGACCTGGAACCAGTAACCCCCGAACTCACCCAAGGCGTGCTCCCAGACCCGAGGGCACACAAGGGACCTCCGGTGAGTGTACCTTTGTAAATATTACACATGGTTTAAAAGCAAGCGTGTTTAATGATTAATTTGCCCTGGCAATCACAGCCAGTACAGCTACTGGAAAAGTCTGTTAACGTGTATGGGGATGGAGCGGAAATCCTCCAGGGACATCTCCAGAAAGCTCTCCTTCATGTATTCCCAAAGCCTTTGCAAAAGGTTTCTGGGGAGGGCTGCCTTATCCCGTCCGCCATGGTAGGACACTTTACCACGCCAGGCCAGTAGCACGTAGTCTGGAATCATTGCATAACAAAGCATGGCAGCGTATGGTCCCGGTGTTTGCTGGCATGCAGACAACATCCATTCCTTATCTCTCTTTGTTATCCTCAGGAGAGTGATATCATTCACGGTCACCTGTTTGAAATGGGGTGATTTTATTAAGGGGGCATTCAGAGGTGCCCGTTCCTGCTCGGCTGAACAGAAATGTTCCCCGCTGTTAGCCACGCGGTGGGGGGGGGGGGGGGGGGGGGGAGGGGGTCGTCCGGGGGACGTGTGGGGGGAGGGGGTGGGGGAGGGTAGTTGGGTTTGTGCTGCATGTTAACCCGGAAACCCCAGCCCCTCCTTTTACATTGCAAACCCATTTTAAATGGCCAACCCAACTGGTCCTTGGTATGGGAAATGAGGGCGCTACTGTTTGAAACCATTCCCACATGTTATGAGGGTTAAAAAAGCCAAAAGACTGTGGCTTACCATGGCTGCCTGCAAGCCGAATTCTGTTGCCTGGCACCGCGTGAGTGATCTCTCACACCAAACCGGCAGGATCTCAATATAAGAGGAAAAATGCGACCTTGTAATGAAAGCACATGTGCTGTGTAACGTGAACAGCAAAATTTAACGTGAAAGAGTGTACCCATTGTTCTCTAAAATGTGTCTTTTTTAGCCACCTCTCCCTTGTCCTCCACCAGCTGCAAATGTTTCTCCTTCGCAGAGGCTAGCAAAGATTAGAAGGAGAAAACGGCGGACTCCGGATGATATGTTCACGAAGCTCCAGATGTCCTCCCACGCTGAAAGAGCACAGCAGAATGCGTGGAGGCAGTCAATGTCAGACTACAGAAAAGCACAATATGAACGAGAGGAGAGGTGGCGGGCTGAATCGCGGGATGAACAGAGCAAGTGGCGGGCTGACGATGATAGGTGGCGTCAGCTTGCAGACAGAAGGCAAGAGTCGATGCTCCGGCTGCTGGAGCATCAAACTGATATGCTCCAGCGTATGGTTGAGCTGCTGGAAAGGCAGCAGGAGCAGAGACCGCCGCTACAGCTACTTTCACAGATATTGTGGAGCGCACAGCAAGCAGCAATAACAATGGGGAGATTCTTTTCGCTGAGGTCTGAGCGAGTCAGTAAGCTGCGCCAGCGCGCTTTTAAACATCCAAATGCACATTCCACCACCATTCGGCACTTGCTCAGCCTGTAGTTGAACAGGTCCTGACTACTGTCCAGGCTGCCTGTGTATGGCTTCATGAGCCATGGCATTAAGGGGTAGGCTGGGTCCCCAAGGATCACGATAGGCATTTCAACATCCCCAATGGTTATTTTCTGGTCCGGGAAGAAAGTCCCTTCCTCCAGCTTTCGAAACAGACCAGAATGCCTGAAGACGCGAGCATCATGTACCTTTCCCAGCCATCCCACGTTGATGTTGGTGAAACGTCCCTTGTGATCCACCAGGGCTTGCAGCAGCATTGAAAAGTACCCCTTGCGGTTTATGTACTCGGTGGCTTGGTGCTCCGGTGCCAAGATAGGGATATGGGTTCCGTCTATCGCCCCACCACAGTTTGGAAATCCCATTGCAGCAAAGCCATCCACTATGGCCTGCACGTTTCCCAGAGTCACTATCCTTGATATCACCAGGTCTCTCATTGCCCTGGCAACTTGGATCACAGCAGTCCCCACAGTAGATTTGCCCACTCCAAATTGATTCCCGATTGACCAGTAGCTGTCTGGCGTTGCAAGGTTCCACAGGGCTATCGCCACTTGCTTCTCAACTGTGAGGGCTGCTCTCATCCTGGTATTCTGGCGCTTCAGGGCAGGAGAAAGCAAGTCACAAAGTTCCATGAAAGTGTCCTTACGCATGCGAAAGTTTCGCAGCCACTGGGAATCGTCCCAGACCTGCAACACGATGCGGTCCCACCAGTCTGTGCTTGTTTCCCGGGCCCAGAATCGGCGTTCCACGGCATGAACCTGCCCCAGTAACACCATGATTTGCAAATTGCTGGGGCCCGTACCTTGTGTGAGGGCTGTGTCCATGTCAATTTCCTCATCACTCTCGTCGCCACGCTGCAATCGCCTCATCGGCTGGTTCTGGTTTTGCTTTGGCATGTCCTGGCTCTGCATATACTCCAGGACAATGCGCGTGGTGTTCATAGTGCTCATAATTGCCGCGGTGATCTGAGCGGGCTCCATGATCCCAGTGCTATGGCGTCTGGTCTGAAAAAAGGTGCGAAACTGATGGACGGAGGGAGGGGCGACTGAGGACATGGCATACAGGTACAGGGAATTAAAATCAACGAAGGTGGCTGTGCATCAGGGAGAAACACAAACAACTGTCACACAGAATGGCCCCCACAAAGATTGAACTTAAAACCCTGGGTTTAGCAGGCCGTTGATTTCACGGAGGGAGGAGGAAGCAAATGAATACATCTATTTTTTACATCTTAAGCTGGCAGCAGACGGTGCAGCATGACTGATAGCCCTCGGCATCTTCTGGGTGCTTGGCAGAAGATACTGTACTACGACTGCTAGCCATCATCGTCAAGATGGTTCAATCGGACTGCCGGCAGGACTGAGTCTCCAGGAGACAAAGCATGTCTGCCCAGGTGCCTCTGATTGAACTGGAATACGACGATGACGGATATCAATCTTAATACACCATCCACTGCCAAAAGGCAATTAGCTGCTGCTGTGTAGCAATGCAGTGCCACGTCTGCCGGCACCCAGATGACATATGGTGACGGTGAGCTGAGCGGGCTCCATGCTTGTCGTGGTATGTTGTCTGCACAGGTAACCCAGGTAAAAAGGCGCGAATCGATTGTCTGCCGTTGCTCTGACGGAGGGGGAGGGGCCTGACGGCATGTACCCAGAACCCCCCGCAACACTGTTTTGCATCATCAGGTATTGGGATCTCAACTCAGAATTCCAAATGGGCGGCGGAGACTGCGGGAACTGTGGGATAGCTACCCACAGTGCAACGCTCCGGAAGTCGACGCTAGCCTCGGTACTGTGGACGCGGTCCGCCGGCTTCATGCACTTAGAGCATTTTATGTGGGGACACATACAATTGACTGTATAAAACCGATATCTATAAAACCGGCTTCTATAAATTCAACCTAATTTCGTAGTGTAGACATACCCTTAGAGAGCTCAATGGGTTTAGCTTTGCAAAAAGAAGATTCAGAGGTGATTTGTTACAATTTAAATGCCTTTATGGGGAGAAAATCTCAGGGCCTAAAGGGCTGTTTAATCTAGTGGAGAAAGGCAGAGCCACCGCCAATGACTGCAAGCTGAAGAAAGCTAAATTTGAATTAGCAATAAGGACCAAATTTTTAAACCACTGGAACAAACTACTAAGGGAAGTTTATATAAACCTATGGGGCTGATTTCCACTAGATAGCATTGAGACGTAGACCTCATGGAATTTTGAAAAAGGATCAGATAGAAACAGAGATAACAAACCTCCAGAGTTACACTAGCGGAATTAATATATAATGTATATATGAAGAATCTGTTTCAGGGCACAAGCCAACAACTGGTTGACAGGATTAGACAGAAACTTTTGCTAGGGACAGATTTCCCCATAATTGTCCACTACGGGGTTTCCTGGCATCTGAAATGACATGGGTCCCCTACTCAGCACCTGTCTGCTCTGGCCACAATCCCACCACTCAGACACAAGCTGAGCAGCAAAGGGCAAAGACATCACCATCAACGCAGCATTATGGGGGGGAGGAATCCCATTTCCCACTATCCCAACCTCCTCCACACAGCAAGAGATGCCAGACTCAGCCTGCCCACAAAGCTCCCCATTCCTCCAGAACTCAGCCCCAACTCAGGCCACTGAAACAAGCACCGTTTCACAACTCACCATAAAGCCAAACCTACAGAGCGAGGCCACCATCTCCTGGTCTCTTTCATTCCCCTTATAAGGAACAAACAAATAGGGCGCAGGAAGATCTAAAGGATGACAAAGATACCGTTAGAGGGACCCACACAGACACACACGCTCCTGGACCTCACAGCTCTACTAGGAACACGGATTCACCCAGCCTCCACATGCCATTAGACAGCCAAACGCTGTCCCAATGATTTCATACAGGCTGCCTTGGGGACTCCCCTCCCTGCTGTGCTATCCATGCTCCC